TTTCGGAGGGCAAACATCTATCTGATACGTCAGGCTCTCATGAGTCATTGTGTAGGCCAGTTATGCATTCAGTCGCATTCTAATGGAGTTGAATTATAGGCATCCCTTAGAGATCGATCGAGGCTATGCATCTGATTTTGCTACGCTTATCCTATATTTAGGATTGACCGAATAAGGACTTTTACCGATTTAGTAGGAAGATTACAAGTGAAAACGGCATACAGAATCTTGATTGAAGCAGTAAGTTACCAAACACAGCATTTTTGTGACTAAGGGATCAATCTCGACTGATTCAGGTGCTATTCTTGCTATAGTGGGCGTAAGGGAAAGTGATCTCGATCGACAGATATTCGACCTTAGTAAAACGCTGCAGAAAGGTGGCAAGTCAATTTGTACATTAGCGAACTTCTCAACTCATATGAAAAGTTGTTCAGCTATTATAAATCTTTTCAGCACACTGAAGAAAAGCGAGTTCTGTTTCCAGGCAATTTGCCGTTATCGACTAATGTTTGATTTCGGCACTGTGACTCTTATTTTGGGAGGCGAGAATGTACGTCGACGGGGAAACGCATTGGACGACGGTCCACACAGACATTCTCAATAACAGCCGAGTTGAACCGATGGAAATCCCAATTCAATGGTCGTCATTCTAAAATGCTTCGGAATTCGATTTCGATAGTTCCCTTCTCACTGCAAGCAATATAGAGTGTGTGCACATATTACGAAATCTAGTCATTAACGGTTAATAGAGGCTCTACGAGATAAAGTAACGACGATCACTATCATTTGAATTCAGACAATGTTGGAATATCAACCCGCACTGCACCACTAGGTGAAACGGATGAAACTCCATATGATTACGGTCGTACCAGAATGACGGCATGTCAATGCACTGTGCATTCGGATTCCGATGTACTGGATGGACATGAAGTTAGTCACCAATTTATTTCCTTTCCTGTAGAATGAATGGAGAGGAATTTCCGTTCAGAACATGATTTGGGACATGCAACCCATGCTTTGTGATATTAAAAAAATGGTTTTTGCACTATAAATTTTTAAGAATGTTTAGAGTCATACCCGAGGATGGTACGCCAGGGCTCTAAACTCGTGTCTTGGAGGTCTCTAATATACTCGGTTAGTGTTTACTTAACTACATTCTCATTATGTGTGCTCTTCTTTAGACGTCGAGATGGGCCGCACGGACTAATCACTGTCCCTTACACTAGAGTCTGTACGATCTTCGTCGTCGCAGCTGTCTACATGCTGGTGGAGTACGTTCTACCACTTCATCAAAAAAATTTTTTTCTTGATGAATGTGTTGAGTATCAAATATATCTCACTGATGTTAGCTCAATTATATTGTTCATTATATATTCTCTTCTTCAGGCGTCGAGGCAGGCGCCACGCTATCACCACAGCCGCAAACACTGTATTCCGCACGATCTGCGCGATCGCCCGTGTCAACATGCTCGTGACGTACGTTCTGTACATTTCATCAAAGAATTTATTTTTAGTAATGTGTTGGCCATCAAATGTATGTGGGTACTGTTAACTTCTATGTTGTTCATTGCGAACTCTCTTCTTTAGACGTAGAGATATACGACATGCTCGCGGGGTACATCCTATTCACTCCATCAAAAAATTTTATTTACAACGAGTCAATTATCCTCGGCAGTTGTTAACTCAATTACATTGTTCATTATGTATTCTCTTCCTCAGCCGTCGAAATACACCACAAACTCACCACTGTCCCCTACTCCGGATCCGCCACAATTTTCCTCGTCGGCATTTTCAACAAACTCGTGGCTTACATTTTATACACTTCATTAGAAAATACTCAATAATCTGTGTGAAATGAAACATACGTGAGCTACTGTTGACTTGATTATACGAAATACAAGTTAGAGCCAAAAGACTAACAAACTTCTGAGATGATCGTCGTAGTGACCGTATATCACAGACGTGAATTTCATACTGTATATTGTTGCAAAACAAGATTTACGAAATAACTATTCTAGAGTGAACTAACTGTTGACTGCCTTAGTACTGACTGCGACTGTATAAAGTACAAATTTCGTGTGAGAAGGGTAAATTGTTGACTAATGGTGTTTGTGCGTTGCCAAATTGTTAAAAGTTGGTGTTGATTGTGTAACTTGTTGAGCTGAATAAATATTTTAGGCAATGAGCAAAGCATTTGGTACAGTGGAGTGTTTGGGAAATACGTGCATTTATTTCAAGGAATTTCTCACATTTTGATGGATGGAAGTTTTGTGGAGACTTATTCCGGGTACGTAGTAAAAGGCCGTCTACGCGAGTCTCTCTTAAATGTTATACACCAGAGAAATATTTATTTTAGCTGCGCTCCCCACAGTTGTAAAAGAAAGTGCGCAGCAGAAATTGGGAGTGCGATGTAACCTTACTAATGTAACTTTTGTATTGAAAGAGGCAAAATTTCAAAATACGTGAGCGCTATAGTTACTAAAATATGTCTCCATGAAAGTCCCTGAAGTTATATTCCATTGATCCGTGCCGGTAAGGTTCCCATAAATCCTAGATTAAACACCAGATGTGTATCAGAACTTGTACTAATATTCATAAGAATTCCTAACGGTGCGAATACAAACTTGTTAAAAGGTGCACATACTGTCGAGAGTAACACTAACGCATTGAGTTTTCATCCCAGTCTCTAATCTAAAAAGTATTTCCCAAATTCAATTAGTAGTTCATAACTATCTGTCTCAAAAAGCGACGAACGACATGCAGCGGTCCTCTGCTTTCTGAGTTCCAAGAGAAGCAGCGAAATTTATGAAACAAACAAATACTTTGAGGAACGGAACCTCTTATGTATGGTAGAAAGACTGTTACCTTTTTTCTCAACACAAAAAGCCGACAATTACCGAATGTTTTCGGTCTCTATTAGACTATCACAAACTTTGCGGTTCGACTGTGAATTTCGAACATTTGATTATTGGATTAATTCCTAGATAGATATTAGATAGACGTGATTATTTTATACATCATTTTGATGCGTATGTCACACTTTGCGTTTATTGCTAAGATCATACTTACTTACTTGGATACTTGGACTGTCCGCCTTCGCTAGTTGTGAGGACCTCAGCACATATTCTAGTCGTCCTTTTGCTACGCGACAGTCCTCCATGACGATGGTCTAATTCGAGCATGCTGGCTGATGCGAGTGTCATGCTGTGATCTGAAAAACATCGGCAGCTGCGAGTACAGCTGTTTAATTCGTTTAACAAGCACGTCCACCTAACATGTAGGTGGTCCTCCTCGACAACGCGTACGTTGACGTGGAATCCACTCCACAGTTCTTCTCGTCTACCTTTCGCGTGTTCGTCTCAGTATAAGACCGGTCCATCGTGTTTCCCTATAGATTTATAGACCTCTAAGTCACGAAGATGGCAAAGACTTCAAAGATCTGAACTACGCAAGTTGGCCCATGCAGTGTGCGCCAACTAAATCCCAGAAGACATTATTCAAGCGTTCTGTGAGTTGTCCGTAGCAGTCCTGACGTGGGAGAAGTGTTACCTCACGTCTTAGCTGCACAGCGAAGCGTCGGGAGGACCGTTGAATCGAAAAGGAGAGCGCCAAGTTTTGAGCCCGCTAGTTGGCTGGTGGATTCTTTGAGAGGCTGGAACACGGTCCATACTGCTCTCTCACTTCTATCTAGTTCCTCCTTCATGCTGTTTTCCATGCTCAATGGACGCCTATGGTGCACATAGGAGGTTATTCTGCAATCAAGGAACCGTTCATTAAGACTTGATCACCATCGCACCATGTGTTTTTCATTAACTGGTCTTCATCCTATTATTGCGTGATTCTGTCTTCTTTCCTGCTTCGTTCAATTACTTCAACAAGTCTGCTTCAATGGTGCTTTTCGAAAAGACAACGATGAACGAAGATGAGTGCAGCCGTGGTTTAGAAAGTATCATAAAGGAGAGAAGAGTTCTGAAGGTGAAGAAGGTCGGGAGACAATGAACCAAGTGTTCTTCTTAAAGCTACGAGTAATGTTGCAAAAGAACTCAAACATTCTACTGTCTTTTACCATGTAAAGCGAATTCCAAAACAATTGCTGTTTCATACCATCCTGAAACCGCAAGTCGGAACAACCAAAAATGCAGATTGACCACGGATCTCGCTCACAAATATATCTCTGCCCGGTTAGTCGTGTGCTCACGCAGAGCCTCACTATTAGGCAACAGGGAATGAAATGTGAACTAAACGAGACTGCGCTTCAGGGATACTGATAATATAGCACCAATCTGGCAGAGCTTTTTTTCCACCAATCAAACTGGCTGAAAGCTTACAATCGGGTGCCGGGGAAGTGCGTAAAAGCTTGTTAGAGGCCACGCTTTATAAATAGGCTTTTCATTATTCGTAGGAGAAAGACTACTCCTACACATGACTGTCCTGTAGCCAAGTTCAGAATCATACACTGATATAGAAAGTTCAACTCATCAAGGAAAACGGGCTTCACTTCCCTGATAACGAATGAACTCTCGGAACATTGGCGTTCAAATGGACGAGCACGGAGGCTATGCTTAAATCTCACGACCACACTGGCCTGTTGGCCTGTTATAAGTTTCACGGTTCTTCTAAAATTCAAAGAAGAAGGGCAGGTTTATGATCGATCGTCGACTTAGAGCCTTTTCAAGTCAGTTCGTCATGATCTACCTGGTGCATTCGAGATCCAGTTAAAGACCACAAAACTGCGGATCCAGTAACTTAGTTACACGCTCGGTAGCGAGTGCATTATTTTCAACGCACTTGTGTTCTCTTCGTTTGGACATCTCTTGACTATTGGCACAGATCGTAATGCAAATGGTATTTAGTTAATTAAAGATTCAAGGAGACTTTATGACCACGCAACGATGGAATTCAATGTCGAGATTATAAAAATTTACCCAATAGTGTAGAGTGCTGTGCAAAAATGTTTGCGTCAGCTAGGATTCGAACCCAGATCTCACTGTGCAAAACGAGCGTCAGTGGTGCACCGGCTAACATACGCTCCCGGAAAGAGTGAGATCTGCGTTCGAATCCCAGCTGTCGCAAACGTTTTTGCGCAGCACTCTACACTACTGGGTATATTGTAACATCATAACAACGACACCGCAAGTGGCGCTCCAATTAAATTATTTTGATTATGAAGGTATATTTTCAGTAAAAAACACCCGCTTATCCTAAAGAATCTCACATCTTAATACGAGAGCTACATTTTTGGGAAAACATCGCATTTACAATAGTTACTGCACACTTTTTTTGATAGTGTTGTAAGTGCAACTGGAAAATACATTTTATGATAGATAACTGCTAAAAGAGACTTGTATTGATGGACTCTTAGCATGTGGTCATAGAAGTCTTGATGGTTTTCGTATTCATCATTTTGTACAGAAATTCCTTGGAAAAAATACATTTTCCTGACTCACTTCGCTGTCATCTTGTTTTTTCAAAATCTTTATTGAACAATCAAAAACTTGTACAATCAACATTGATCAATAACTAATTGGCTTTGCACAAGCAGCATCGGCCACAGTTTAATCTTTTACATACAATTTGCACTTCTAATAACCAGTAATTAGTATTCACTCAAGCAATCAACAGTTAATACTTCCAACAATAATTTATTTATGAATCACAACATGCAACATTTTGAGCATAAATTCATATCTATAGTATGCAATCGATAAGTGAAGAATTGAGACGCTATCTGCTACTTGTGACTTGACTTTGTACTTCTCATCATAAGCAATTAGTCTGTTCCGGAATAATGAACACTTAATGCGTTCTAAAAAATATGTTTTTACTTAACTATTACTTCCAAGCATATGTAACATGAAGCTCGTATTCTTGAAAATAGAAAAAAAATGTCCCAAATAAAAAGTATGAGAGCTTACAACGTGAATATCTCGGTAACAAATGAGCACGACATCTCTCAGCTGCTTTCATAACTGGCTTTAAGCAGGCAGTTCGGGACGTCTTTGTACGCCACTTCCGCAGTGATGGTGAGCATGATTATAGCACATTCACCTGTATGATGCCGACATTTCAAGCTAATCATTAGAAAGTACTGACAAAAGTTAACAAGGAAAGAAACCTTGTAGGCATGAGCTCTCTCGGAGGCTACTAAACCGCTCTTGTCCTGACGTATCCCTCAGACCTGATCCTATCACATTGTATCACGTTGAAGGAGACATGATCCCAATTTGACATCGAACATTATTATAGAACACTCAAATGTGCAAGGTTAGTGCACGGATGTCCACTTCGATTGTGGCTGCAAAAATACTGGTTCCGTTAAGTGAGGGCATAAATGTTCAAAGAAGGCAACTTTTCACCTTCAGATGCTGAAAATGAGCGGTATTATAGGGCATTAGAGAAGAACTCGCCATGACATCTTTTCGTGAATTTACCTGTCAGTGACGTTTCACAAACGCCGTTTTGCCCATGCATTTATCACCCACTAAGAAGAGCTTAATGGCTGAATTTAACAAATTTCCAGCTATCTAAATAACAAAAACTCTCGTAGAAATCGACAGATAAGGAGTCTTTTTGGAGAATATGACGCAAATAAATCAAAAACAAGTCAAACATGGACATTCGACACAACCAAATAACAGAAGTTTCTTTGTGAGATCGTGATTTGAGCAAAACCTACAAAAATGAAAAGATAGAGCAAAAATTTGGAAACTACGCATGATAATCGATTGCAGAGTCCAAGACGCCATAATGATTTGGGATTTTGGCGCTGAAAGTGTCAATTTTAAAACGACGTCGCCTGACTTTTCACGCACCGCGGTGCGGGCTACACGCAGTCCAGCGACAATTCCCTATGTGGTAGTCTTGTGAGCGATAACGGCAAGTATAGACAGGCTGGGATAGAAATGAATAGCAAAGCAGACAAAAAAGCTAAAGCACATAATTATTGAACCTTAACCACCTTGTACTCCAAGCAGTAAAATTTCTCAACCACATTGTACCTCAAGTTGCACAATTTCATAACCACTTTATAACCCATGAAGCACAATTTCTTAACCACATTATACCCCAACCAGTAAAATTTCTTATTCACATTATAATCTAAACAGCGTAATTTCACAACCACTTTATAATCCAACTAGCACATTATCCCCCCAGATGGCACAATTTCTTAACCACATTATACCCCAAGCAGTAAAATTTCTCAACCACATTATAATCTAAACAGCACAATTTCACAACCACTTTATAAACCAACTAGCACATTATCCCCCAGATAGCACAATTTCTTAACCACATTATACTCCAAGTAGCACAACCACCTGGGCAGTTCATATTAAATCTTGCATACTTTGTTAAATATTACATGGTTTCACTCTATTATAGTACAGCAAATTCATATTGTAAAGGTCATTAATCAGGCTGTTGAAAAAGAATCTGACATCCAGTAGCATTTTCTCTTTCATCGCATCGAATTCTATATAAATATGCTTTCATCTTGGCTGAAACATTTGAAAGCTCCTACGAAATTCGTGTTAAATATTTAGCAAAGTACATTCAGCATGAATTTTCTCGGTGCTTTGAAACGTTTCAGCCAAGATGAGAGCACTTCTAGACAGTGATCGGTGCCAGAAATTAGAAAATGCTACTGGATACCGGATCCTTTTAGAATAGACTGAGTAATGAAGTTTGGAATATGAAGGTGCCATACTATGATAGAGCAAAACCGTGATAATTAACATGAATTTTCTGGGCGCTTTCACGTTTCAGCCAAAATGAAAGCATTTTTAGATAGAGCTCCATGATAGGAGTCAGAAAATGCTGCTGGATTCGGATCCTTCCTCTCATATTAGCTGAAACATTAGAAAGCGTTCAGTATATTCATGTTAAATATTACATTGTTCTACTCTAGATGGTATAGCACCTTCACATTCCAAACCTACTAAATTTTTACGTTCATCTGTCATGCCTTGCGAATCCTAGGTGTCATAAGCTTTTGACGGTCTACTGATCAGAATCTCGCAACTGCTGTGGCGAATTATAACCCCCCATCAGCCGTTTCTAGTCTTCCAGTGGCGCTGCCCATGTTGTCCACCAGCGATTCGACTGCGTCTGGGTGATGGGTATCTGGTATATCAGAAGGCTTGTCAGCGATAAGAGCATTTTCAAATAGAGTTCGATGCGAGGAATCAGAAAATGCCAGTGGATGGTGGGTGCACTTAGAATAGACTGAGTTATGACGTTTTCATTGTGACGGGGTTCTAATAGGTGCTAGATCATTAACAAACCATGAACACTTTTCATCGCATTTCTCTATCTCATCGCTGATATCCGTATCCTCGCTGAACGATTCAGAGCTGGATAATGTTTCGTTTGGAGGAAGACAATAAGCAAAAATGAACTATTTCGAAACAAAGTCGATGCGATACATTACAGATTTTAAATGGTTTTTACAAAGGTGTTAGAGCATTGAGGATGCATTAAGGGTGTTTCGTGCAAGCGCCACTATATGTTGCATGTAAGGTTAAACTAATAACTACAAAACTACAAAAAGAAATTGTGAACACAAAAAGTGCAGGTTTTTGATTGATGTGTAAAAAGTGAAAGAAAGCAAAAGTAACGGTGGTTTTGTAAACACTGCCCGTCTGTGGCGTAATCAGTAATGATGACCGCGCTTTAGCATTATTATCTAGACTATATCGTGACAGAAGAAAAAAAATGAATTTAGTTCAGTCTGCATAGATCCTTTAATTTTACTGCTGAAAAAAGCTGCTGCTTTTGCTTTTTTTCTAGGAATGAAAATAACACTATATAATATTAAACACTAGTTTCCTAGGCGCATTAAAACGTTTCGGAAAAATATGAGAGCATTTTCACATAGAGTTCGATACGATGAATCAGAAAATGCTACTGGACGCCGGATCTCTTTAGAATAGACTGAGTTCGTTCTGTAAGGTACAATTCATTTCCAAAAGCAGGCCCATATTAAGTGGTGAACTAATGGACTCTTTGCACCAGTTTCACGTGAGTTGCTCCTCGCTCACTGAATTCATTTCTGAGAGAGTCGTGGTGACTCTCAACTGGGCGCCCCGTTTGGACGATGACGAAGATTGGTGCTTGCTCTAATTTGAACTGAGGTTAATAAAGCTCTCAGATGAGTAGATAATAGAAGGGCTGTGGTACTAAAGAGTCCATGAAGACGAAACAGACACCTGCCTAGCACTTATGCCTGACAAACGACTAAAACATGTTATGTCATTATCAGAGTGTTATCGTTTAGAGCGGAGTTCATAGAAAAGCGGTCGCCTACTATTGCAGGATGGATTCGTTGAAAAACCAAATTTCATCAACGGACGAAACGCATTGAGTCGTTAGCCGAATAACAAGGTATTCTCTCTAATCAACTTCACACTTTCTTTTAAAAAACAAGGAATATGTGATTGATTAGTAACGCCGAGTTAAAGCAAAGTCGCATTTCTAGATAGACTTCAATGCGAGGAACCATTAAATGCTACTGGATGCCCGATCCTTTCAGAACAGACTGAGTAGTGACGTTGAGAGCAGTTTTAGATAGAGTTCAATGCTATGAATCAAAAATTTTACTGGATGCCGCATCCTTCTAGAACAGACTAAGTAATGACGTTTAAAAAATGAAGGTGCTTATTCTATGTTAGAGCAAAACCGTGTAATATTTGATATGCTGAAGGGCAAATGTCAAATTTCGCGAATGATCTGCCAATCTCTTGACGAGCAGCAAAAAAACGTTTGCTAAAATCTACTCAGTATAGTAGTTTGTCCAGTAATAGTGTCGTCATTAATCGCCAGAATGGAAAGATAGGGAAAAGACTACGCGAGTGCTCGTCAAGAAACTCGCAGATTGATTGAGCAATCGTGACGTATACTTCTACGAGAGCCGCAAATGTTTCAAATCTTTTGACTGACCTGACCCACCCACTTTCAACTTTATAAATTCACTTCCGCATCACCGGTTTGCGGGCGCTTCGTTTTGCGGCATCTTCAGCTCTAGATCTAAAATAGCCCGATTTGTAAGTTTTTTTTAATGATAAAACCAGAA